CCTAGTCCCATTTTTTTAAACGACCAATGTCACAACTCACAATGCCTTTGTGTTTGTTTATAAAATATTTCAACTCATACTCAAAATTTAACATAATCTTACTATCCTCAATATTATTAATATAATTAAATAATATTAACCAAATCATTCTTATATATTACATCAATTTTAATTTACTATTTATCAACTCACATAATTTTAACTAATCATCACTCTCACATTATGTCTCTTATACATTTACAATAAATTAATTTTAATTATTTTATTTTAATATAAACTTAAAATAAACAATACCAATTAACAATACCAATTTTAATCATTACTCTCACTAACAATTAACAATATCAAGTTTTTCAAAATTAACACCAGTTAAAACTTGTTTTGGTAGGATATATCTATATATATATAAAGAGGTTGTTGGAAAAATACATTAATAGAAAGTTTAACCAAATAAATATAATGTTTGACTTACTATTAATGGAAAGTCCAAAAAAATAAATGTGAATCTTTAGTAACAAAATCTGAATCCTATTTTTTTGGTAACTAATTTGGAGATTCTTATGGCAAAATTTGAATCCCTTTTTTTCGTATCATATTTTATTTTTTTTACCAAAATTTAAATCATACATTTTTTGGTAACAAATTTGAGATTCTTATGCAAAAAAATGTGTCAATTATTTATGAAAACAATTCTAAATACAAATTTACTTAAAAACCGTACAAATTGGATACAAATTTTGGAAACAAATAGTTGTATAATTCTTAACCAATTCTTCTAATCTTATTGAATAATTTCTTCATTAAAAAAAAGTGTGTAAATTGGATAAAACTACGTGCAATTTTTATTTTAGAATAAAACTGACATTTGGACGGGATGTACATTCAAAATTGTGTCCACATTTTTTGGCAACAAAAATGGTTCATCTTTGATATTTAAAAATTAAAAAAATCTTAAAATATCCTTAAATATTTAATTTATTTGATATCAAGATTTGTTAGGTCTTTTTAAGATTAGTTATGATTTAAAAGAAAAAAAAAACATTATACAAAATTTCACTCTAAATCTTACATTCACACTTAAGATTTCATAGTATTCCTCTAAAATTTGACCATCTTAAAAGTCTCAAATCTTAAAAGATCTCAAAGTGGCACTCAAAATTTTAAACGAATACATATAATTTACCTATATCGTCAATTTATAATTATTATTTAATATTATTTACCCATGCATCGCACGGGCCACATACTAGTTTATATACAACCAACAAGAAATTCTCCACAGTCCACATCACAATAAAAATGTAAATTAATAATGCCAAATTGGGTTATGTTTGGGCCCAAAAAGACAACCCTACTTTTAAGAACGTGCCCACTCACAAATCACAATCCCATACACTCCTTTGCTCGACTGCCATTTTTTTAAAAATCAACTCAAAAGCCTCTCCCTCTGAAAATATCTTTCAAACCCTAATTTCATTGGAATCTAGCAGACTATCCTCCCCTTATTTTCCGCATCAAAAGGTACATAGCGAATTTCATTCCTTCCGTTTTTCTTCACGTTCAAGAAATTTCTGTTCGTGCATTTTTGTCTTGAATTTATCTATATAGATGTAATATGAGAAACCCACGAGTTATGGGAATTTATTGCGCTCTGTTTGATTGTTGGGAAGCTAAATTACGTGTGTTTCCTTTCCAGTTGATGTAAAGATTTGATTTTTATGTGCTCTTTATTTAAGGGTTTTGGTTCCAATCTGAACCTGAGTTGTAAGACCAATTCCAACCCTGCGCTTCTTTCTTTTTTTCTCCAATACACTGTAATGAACGCTAGACTCTTTTTAGTTTTTTATTTATTTTTATTTTATATTATTGATTAGGTATTAATTGATGTATTTGTTATGTTAAATAATTTGGTGTTTTATCTATAGATGTATTTTAGGTTAATTTTGTAAATTTTGATAGTAAAAATATAAATATAAATTTACCACAATAAACTAAATATATATATATATATATTAATGTTTATTAATAATCTTGATTATATTTAATAAATAAAATAATCTTGACATCTATATATATTATATTGTAGGTAACATAATAATTTGTACATCTATATATATATTGTTAGTAACATTTTATGACTTAGATTATCGATGGAGAATGCACTATTGATTAATCTTCTAATAAATAAAATAATCTTAAAATAAATAATGTTGTATTTAATTATAGATGGCTGATGAATCTTCTAAATAAATAAAATAATTTTCTGAGGTCTTACTTTTCTGTTAAGTAAAATGACTTGACTTTTTATTTGTTTCTGTTTTGTATAATTCTTATTGGGTCTGTAGGAACTATAGATGGCTGATGAATCAGTGATCAACGGGGAATTTTCTGATGATCAGACCGTTGAAATTTCCGGGGATGAAGCTTCGTCGAAAATATCAAATCTCACGGAAAAGGTTGCTGATCTTCAGCGAGAAAATGCCAAAACAATTCAGGAAAATGAAGGCTATAAGCAGCAAATCGAGCAACTGAAGGCATCCATCAATGAGTTAAATTCTGAGATTGTGGAGCTGAAGAAGGAAATGGACAAAGCAGAATCAGAAAGTAAGGCCTTGAGTGCAGTGGCTGCTCGAGCTGCAGAACTCGAATCCGAGGTGTCAAGGCTTCAGCATGATTTAGTATCAGCCATGAGTGATTTGCAGGAATCAACAACTGAGCTGACAAGCTTGAAGAAGGATTTCGAGGGAGTTAAAGAGAAGGAGAAGGAGAAAGATGTTCAGCTGGAGGCCATTGTCAAGGAGCGGGACTTGTTATTGGCCAAGGTTGAGAAAATGGAAGGTGAGGAAAGCAGTTTGAGGTGTGAATTGGAGGGTAAGGAAAAGGAAATTAGTGGTCTGAAGAAGAGTAATGAGGATTTGAAGGTGGCTGTGGAAAGTAGCAAAGGTTCGGAGAAGTCGAAGAACGAGCTGGAGAATGAGATTGAGAAATTAAAGCTGGAAATTAGTATTCTGCAGAGCAGCTTGAAGGAGAAAGAGAGTGTGATTAGTGAGTTTGAGATGAAAGAAGAAGCTACCTATGGTGGTTTTAGTGGTGAGGGTGAAAAGATCGTAAAAAAACAAACGGAGTGGACAATTGTTGGGGGTTCGGTTTTGGCTGCTGTTGTTGTCATGGGCGTGGTTTGCTACGTACGTGCACGAAAGTACTGATTCGGGTTCTCTCTGCATCGTATGACTTTTGAGGTTAGGTGGGCCTTTTTTTGTTCCTAACTCAATGATGGAGAGTTATCAGTTTTGATGATAGTTTCAACTTTTGGTTTTATCTCCTTAATGGGTTTAGTAATGAGTTTGTGATATTCGTGGTTGTGTTTTTTCTGATTCTTGGCAAGTACTGGATAATATTTTCTTCCAATAACTGCGTGTATTATCCCATTTAAATGAAGGTTTGAAATATATGGTTGAGTTTTAAGATTGATGTATCTTCCGTGTAGTTTGTTATGGATATTTTATTTTTCGTCAGTGTTTACATTCAGTTCTCTAACATTCTTTCATTAGTTGACGTTTATAATATTTTTCAGATCCATCCTGTTTCTGAGTTAACCCGGTATTTTTGAGATGCTCTGTTCTTATGCTTGAAGTTATGGATAGGAGTTACTCTACAATGAGGCTTATATAGCCCTTATTCTGTTAAGTTAGTTTCATGTAATACAGGAGATTGGTATCTTACAAGAAAATTAGTTGGATAAAATATAACAGTTTTCTATTGCATGCATGAGATTCCGATTTCACACACTTTCTGCTTTTTCCTGTATCGTTCGAGTTTGATCCATGCACATAGTTCTTAGATTTTTTGTGGTCTTTTTTCGATCTCTGCACTTGTTAGCACTGAATGTGGGACTTAATGATTGAGGTTTAGTTAGCTAGTTCGAAATCGAGCTATGCCCTAGTCTTTCTAAGCGTTTTCTAGCCCAATGAGTGATGATTAGTCGAGCTTTCTGATTTGCTACCGTTGCGTGTTTCTCCATGATCTGGTAATGATTGCAGAAAAAGATAGTGTTGGCTTTATCTTATGCAGATATGATTGACATATCAAAGATCGTTCTCCATAAATTGTGGCTAATAATGTTCCAACCTTCTCTAGTTCTCTTGGACACCATTTGTTTAGTTTCTGAAAAATAATTCTAATTAAATAGGAGTACATGCAATAGTTACAGGGGTATGGAATATTCAAGAACTACAATGGGCGAACGCGAGAATACAAAGTCGAGTGCTTTCGATTTCTGTAGAATAAATCCAGAATTTAAGAGCTTCATGTGGTTCTGCAAGAATATACAATATTAAAAGCAATATACATCTTCAACACTGAAATCATTCTCTTGAAGTAAAGAAAGCTTCTAATGGAAACTCAAGATTAAAGCTTTAGCAAATGTTCAAACAGCAAGTTTTTTGTACAGCTTCCAGTTAGCTGAAGAACAGAGAAATTACTCTGCAAGTCTGCATGTTCCAAAAGGCCAAAATAAATAAATAAAATAAATATATACCAAAGTCTAGAAAGAAATTACGGATAATGAAGACCGGGAAACCCGTTGATGAGCTCTTTTTTATTTTATGTTTTCAATTAAATCACTTTTGAGCTCTTTGTTTATAGATTTTTTTTTTTTTTTTTTNGTTGATTTGCGGATGTATTTCTTTAAATCATATATATTTTCGTTTGAGAAAAAGAAAAAAAAAAAAAAGTTTTCTATCTTGATATAGGTAGCAAATGTTGTTCCTTATAGAACAAAATTGGTTTGTGCAGAAGCAAATGATTTTCAAAAGCAAAAACTTGGGTGTGAATATCATTAGCCTCTTTCATTAGTCATTATTACCCTATACTGACCGGCCCAATAATCGAACTGTCGTTGGCCTACCAATTGAAATGAATTTCGGCCCAATAATGCAGCCCTTTGACATTTCATAATAAAACCCCACCAAAAACCTCAATACCATCTCTTCCTTGCTCCCATGGCTTCCAACGCAGAACCTCTCGCCGCCATTTCACGGCTCCAAAGATCCACCGTAGATTCAGCCGTGAGCGCCCTTCTGAAATTTAAATCCGCCGCCCAATCATCCTCCGACAAGCTTCAGCTCCTTCCGGAAGACGATTACATCTATCTGAACCTCACCCTCAAGAAAATCCCCTCAAACCCTCGGACGAACCCCTTCAGAATCGCCCTCCCCCACCCGATTCTCGACGCCGCTTCGCAGCTCTGCTTGATAATCGACGACAGACCCAAGTCGCCAACGCCTCCCTCAGACCAAATCAAGAAGCTCATCAAGGCCCAGGACATTCCCATTTCCAAAGTCATTAGGGTTTCGAAGCTCAAGTCGAACTACAAGCCCTATGAAGCAAAGAGGAAGCTTTGTGACAGTTACGACTTGTTCCTGGTCGACAAGAGGGTGGTACATTTGCTGCCCAAACTGATTGGAAAGAAATTCTTCAAGAAAAAGAAGCTGCCCCTTGGGGTAGAAATGGGTAAGAAGAACCTCAAGTTGCAGGTGGAAAGGGCTTTGGGGAGTGCCCTTTTGTATATGAAGACCGGGACTTGTTGTGTGATGAAGGTCAGCAAGGTGTCCATGGAGAAGGAAGAGATTGTGGATAATGTGTTGGATGCAGTTCAAGGGGCTGTTCAGAGGGTGCCGAAAAAATGGGACGGCGTGAGGAGTTTGCATCTGAAGTTTTCGGACTCTTTGGCTCTGCCCATCTACCAGGCCATGCCGGATGTGAAGCTGAAAATCGAGGGTCTGAAGGAGAGTGATAGAGAGGGCGAACGTGCAAAAGATAGCGAGAATGAGGGTGAGACTAAGGAAATGAGTGGGAAGAAAGAAGGTAAAGTTGGGAAGAAAAAGAAGAAGGGGAGAATTCATGAAGTTCATTATATGGATGTTGGTGAGGACATGGAGAGTGATGGTGGTGTGGATGAAAGTGAGCGAGTGGGGAGTGAAGGAAATTTAATGGAGGAAGGTGAATATGATGAGGCTGATATGGATGATGATAAGAAGACTGAGGAAGATGAGATTATTAAAGCAGCTTTGGAGCAGCTAAATAGAACCAAAGATTCGAAAGAAAAGTCGGTGAAGAAAGAGGCAAAAGCTGAGAGAATTGGTAGAGGGAAACCGAAGAAAGATGAATCATCTGGAAAGAAGGGGAAGAAAAAGATTGAGATTGAGAAAAAGTCGGGTGAAAAATTTGCCAAGGTGAAGGGAGTGAAACACAAGAAAAAAGTTGTCCCCAAAATGATCTGAATCAGAACTAGTGTTCTCTCGCTTTGGTTCTTGGTTGAGAGCTGAGGAACTTTTGTTGAGATCAAGTGCTCTCTCAGGCATTGGTTGCTCCATATAAATTTTGGTAACAATAGCTGTGCTTGAATTTTGTTTCTTAAGAGATCTTGTTCTGTGTTTACTTGTGCTTGATGTAGCAATCTTTGAGAATTTTTACTTCAATTTTATATTATGTATGGGCAACTGTTCCTGAGCTACATTCATTATTCAAGATGATGAGAGCTTTTGCAGAATTCCTTGCTCGTGTTGTTTGACTGCTTTTTAAATATTTCTGATGGGTGTCATTTTATCTGCTAATGTTGTACCCAATATCAAATGGCAATCCCTATTTATTTAATGTTAGTGCTGAAATTAGGCCTCGGTATTTACTCAACTTTCTATGCTACGTGTTTTCCATTCTGTATCTTATGCCTTCGGCTTTCAGAATTTCTCATGTTTGCTAATCAATTCAATTTGGATTAGACACTAATCGTCATGCGACATCTCAAATTCTTCTGTTCAAGAATGGCGAATTTGCTTGTATGATCAATCTTTGTGCGGTTTGCTTCCCTTGAGTCCATGTGTAAGGCAATAATATGTTTTCTGTACCACATTGTGTGTTAGGTTCATGTGATTGCTCTGATGACTAAGTCAACGTTAGTCAGTTTGAACCCATTTATTATATGAGAAATGCTATAGGTACATAATATTATATACGTACTTGTAGCATTTTTCTTATTATATAGCACTCTAGGTTCTATATGTAGAATTGCAAACGCATGTTATCGTTGTGTGCTTTCGCTAATTTATTACATCGTGCAATCAGTATTTAGGACCCCTTATTCTACTTCCTCTAGGATGTGCATTTTATCTTTATATTTTATATTTTCTTTTGAAACTTTAAGAAAATAAGTTCGGCCTGGAATTTTGACTCTCACCATATTGTATTGGATTCGTTTTAATATGTATTCTCATTTCTATCATAATCCCTCCAAGAAAATACATAAGGGAAATTTTGATGGGTAGATATCTTACAATTACGAACAAAATATTTGTTGCTTCCAAGTTCCAAGTCAGCAAACTTCCAATACAGACTTAAGTTACCTAAGTACTTTAGGTAGGTTTTAAGTGATTGCTTTGGTCATGAGATGTTACACGTGAGAAGTGATTTAACTCTGATTAAGAACCCTGTCCTTTGTGCATCTGCCTCTCTTATATAGATGCAAGTTACTTTCCACGAGCTCTTTGTGTTTGACCTTATTGTTTGGCATTCAAGTTTTTCCGAGTATCGTGTTATCTTTTTCCCATTTATTCTGTTGGATGAATATAATGCTTTTCAGTAAGTCAGTTATGCAAGTATGTAAATTTGTTTATGTTCAAGGTGCACTGTAATTCCAAGTGGGTAAAAAATATACTTCACCACGAACCTGAGAAGCCAACACGTGCAGAGTGGAAAGTAGTACAGAAAAAGAGATGAAATTGGCATTTTAAGTCTAAGGTAATTGGCATTTTACTTGCTTTTGTCATTAAGATAGTCGTTTGCCGGCCATTTCATCCAAGCCTCGAAGTGTAGCTGTTACTTGTAGAGTTTGCTAACTTTTATGGTGCTTCATGAGAGTCTCGAGTTCAGCACGTGCCCCATACAACATGCACTGAGCTTTTGCAGCAACAAATGCAATTAATATCTTAGAATGAATTAGATCATTTTCCAAATCAAAAGGGACGGTACTTCCCTCATTTATTCTCACAAATTTTATTTTCAACATTTACATCAAATAAAACAATGATAAATGAATAACGAAGCTGAAACAAACACAAAACAAATTGAACAAGAACACGTTGATGAATTCCCGAAAATGAAACTCTGTCTCGTTTGAGGCTTAGAACCTCGAGCGTTTGCACTCGATGGAAGTTCCCTGAGGAAACCTCTGATAATCAGCACAATAGTTATAGACCATATGCCTCTGTTGAACCCATCTGAGTCTATTTCTTCCCTTCGCATCAAGCTCTAGATTCTGAGACTGTTGGCCGTTTTCAATCCTGAAATTTCTGTAATATGCCACAAAAGGAGCTTTTGTCCAGTCTGTCTTCACCCGACCGCCTTGAGTTGCCCACTCGTCTGCATTCCACAAACTGCAGTACACTCTCATCCGCTTGGTGTTTGGGAACGGCACACCACTCGACTCGTGGTTGTTGAAAACTCGAATGGGACTATTGTCCACCAAGAATCTGAAAATATATTTTGTTCATTAGTAACTGCAGAAAATTTATGCGAAAGGAAAATTAGGTCATCTTTAATTGAAAAAATTCATTTTCAAATTCATTTTGCAGTAATTGTCACATCAAACTGTTATTATTCTCTAACCGATAAACTCATTCTCAAACTCAAAAGAATATTCTCTTTTAGAAACGTCTGGAAGAGGAGAGAGAAACTCAAAAACCCATTTTGGGTTTGAGTTTGCAATTTAATTGAAGAGTTTCTCCCTCATTTTTTTGGCATTTTTCCATTCGGTTGAGACAGTCTTATAAAAAATTAGTTTATGAATTAATACATACATGATGCGTCGAGGATTCCAGACGATCGAGTATGTGTGGAAAGCGGCAGTTGGGTCGAACCAAAGGTGGAATTGTTGTTCCTTGTCACCTTTTCCCTTTGAGTACACGTTCGTGTGCACTGTGTAAGGCTCACCACTCGAGTTCCCGAGAAACTCAAAGTCTATCTCGTCGTGCCCTTCACCTTGAGACGACAACTACACAAGAAACAAAGAGAAAGAAAAGAAAAAAAACATAAGATTTACTAACATATATATAACAATTCGAATAAACGATGAAAATAATCGGCCAACACTTACGAAGAATGTGGTTACTGTGCCAGCCGAGTTTCCGGGTACGAGTTTAAGTTGCATGTCGAACCTCCCGAACAAATACTCGTTTTTGGATTGGAAACCCGAGCCAGAGTTTCGGTCGAGCGACAAAGAAAGTCCACGCCCGCCTTCGAGTATCTTGGCACGGCCATCCCCCCACGAAACATCCACATCTCTATAGAAATTGGCAGAGGATGGCACGACAAAACGAGCCAAGACCGCGAAAATCGAGACCATAACGAATTTCGGAAAGAATGCTGCCATTATTTTTTCTTTTTTATATATATGTTTTTTCTTAGATTTTTGAAAAAAGATGTATTTTGTTGTGTTTTGAAGTTTGGTATTGAGTTGTGACTTGTGATCCTTATCTTGGCTTGGGGTCCCTATTCCTAACATATATATAGATGCTCATAATGCTTTGAGGTGTGTTTTCCATGCAGAGAAGGTGTGATCTGTAAGTGAGCTGGCTGGAAGACTTTATGACCTGGCAGCGCATAAAATAAAATAGAAGTAAGTAATTATACGCGTGAGCCAACGGGTCCAAACAAGCATGTTTCAATTTCGTTTGGCGCCCGGGCTTTGTAAATTGTAGTAGTAGAGAAACAAAAGGTATTTGAATTATTATTTTTTTTCTTTTTTTATTGACCGCCCAAGACTAGTGGACGAAATCCATATGTTTGTTGGCATTATTGGTGGCATTATTGGGCAAAAATTCATTTTGGTATGCAAAGATGGCATTGCCAGTTCGACATGGAACCAGCCCGTGGTCAACGGGACTCGAATTGAGTTCGTAGTTTAACCGGACTGATTTTGAGTCACATATTTTTAGTTTTCGAATTCTTGGGTCGGTTCTGAATCAGAACCGGCAGTTCGACCCTGTTTAGAAAAAAATTTAAAATTTATTATTTTTTATTTTTTAAGTGAACTGGCCCGGCTCGAAACTACCGGTTCACTGGAACCAAGAAATGGCAATGTCTACATTAGTGTACAAAATTTATATCAATTCAGCGCACATAAAACTTGACGAGCTAACTTGTCAAAAGACAAATAAGTATACTAATTATGAGAGATGAGATAACCGGATTATTTAAGACTTATCGCGGATTGAATCTAGGTTGATCGTGGGTCGAACATGGGCCAAATTTTAAACCCGTGCGTAAAAATTTTGGACGAAATATTGAATGGGTAAACGAATTTCGATTAAACTGAAAATTTATGGGTACGAATCTCCCTATGGGATAAATCCGATGGCTAGTCAATCGACTAAAGCAGATGCCAAAAGGCACCAGAAGTAGGTCGGATAGAGAACAAGTTAAATTATTGTGGATAAAAAATTACCGAACAAATGAACTCTTAATCGTGCAGTAATTTACGACCATCTCGATGATACAAATCTAACTGTGGATCACATGATTGAAACGGAATGACACCGAAATGATCCCCACAAATAAAATAACACATTGGGGAACAAATTGTTTTGGGTAAAATATTGATTGAGCAAGCTAATTCTGATTAAGCTAATTTTCTTTTTT